CATAATTGTTCCTTGACCCAAACAACTTCCAGGTTGAGTGAGGATCAAGGATGTCCCAAGAGCAAGGAGACTGCTAGAGGAGCCATGAGTGAGGATACACAACACCACCCTTCGCAGAATTCTTTTCTGGACCAAAGCACCTCTTTATCAAAAATCAGCTGGTGACTTGAAATTTCATATGATGGACCAAAGGAAAGGATCATGTCTCTGATGTTTCCTTGGTTCCTCTTTCCTTGCAATTTTTTTCTATAATCTTGTCCTCACATTACATGGGCGGAACTAAGATGCAAGGAAAAGATACAAGTGAAACATGGGAAACATGGACAAGAGATGTGGGATGTAACTCACGTCTCCCATTCCAGTCTCACATTGTCTCTTGAGTTTCCCTGTATTTCTGTTTTATGCATCTGTTTCTCGTTCCCTCATTATACAGTCCTGACTCTGACACACACACTCACTCATCCACCCACCCACTCACACACACACGCCACACCTGTCTTCACTCACCTTGATTAACTCCTTTGGTTTATATACTGGTCTGTTCCTTTGTGTTGTCTGTTGCCTCAGTAATCTTGCCTTTTGTATACCTTTATATTCCTCATCTTTTTGTGTTTCGTTGTGAATGTTTTGGACTCTGACTGTTGTCAGGATTTGTGCCACTCACCTTTCCTTGCCTGGATTCATTGTTTAACCTGGACTGTTTGCACATTCCTGACCCAGTTTGGACTCCTGCTGGATTTTGCCAGCCCGGACAAAGAACTGCCACGTCCCTAGCCTCTAATACTTCCCATAGGGGTGTCTCCTGAAATATCTGTGACCGATAAGCCTTTCTTAAGGAAGGGCAGTCTCAAAGACGAAGTCAATAAAAAATTAAATGCTTCATTAAATATTTATTTCATATCTCTGGTCAATAAATACAGGATACAAACAAATGCACGTGATGCAGTTTATCATGCTGATTAATAGCTCGTGAAGGTAACACACCAACACACACAGCAGTGTGCAAACTTTGCCTCTAAAATCAGGTAGGTAATTGGTTCTGTGAAGTCCCCTCCTCCAGGGCCTCAAACAGAACGTAAGGGGCTCAGTTACATTCATCCATGTCCAGCAGAGTGTGACAGATCATTCCAGTTTAACCATTTAAGTTTGTAAATCACACACACACATATTTCCTTTGTCATTACAGCCATTACCAGTGGCCCTTGGTTTCTATTTTTCATTTTGAAGTGTGTTCCTCTGTCTCTTTCCCACTCTCACTGCCAGGTCCTGATTTTTTTTTTCTGGGAAGTGTGTGGTCCTATCTGTGTGAGCATGCTCCTGTCCTTGTGTGTGTTCCTCTCTCTCTCTCCCTCTCTCTGTGGATATTCAGCCCTCACCTCAAGGCAAGTCGATCCTCTTACAGTAATACCATTGCCTAATCTCAGAGGCGTATCAGAGGGAGCTCAGAGCACTCGGCACTAATAGGTTCACACAAATGGGATCTAGTCAAAAACCTCCCAATCCTCCTGCCACTGTAAATATGGAGAGCATTTTCTAAGTCTGCCTGGAGGCCTTCGATGTGGAATTGGTGCAGATTTGACAGATAGACAGAAGGAGAGAGCAGCCAAGAAAAAAAAAAGATTTAACATGTTGTTACCAGTGTTGCAACAGTAATGTTGCTGGCTGTAGGGATGAATCAAATAAAATGTAAACTTTAAAACCCTGAGTCTGATGTCATTCATGCAGGTTTGCTGTAAGGAACAGGATCCATGAATGTTTATATGGATTTTCTCTTTCTTACCTAATTTTATTCTTTTACAGCCCTAAATGCTGATGGTGCTCCTTAATGGTTAGAGGCTTTAATAACTTCTAAAGTTTGTTTAAGCTGCCCAGCAGCTACATTTTTACACTGGTCAAAAATATTTACCAGGTTTTTAACCTTACAGGTACCAGTTTTTTCTGCCTCCTCAGAATTAATCTTTGACTCATCAGCGGCTTCTTGGAGCATTTTTGTCTCTTTCCCCCTTTAACCTCTCCTTTAAACTGGGAATCAGTTGCAACTTACTTTCATCATCCTTCTCTGCTGACACACCCTGCCATACCCTGTCATACTTTCTCCCCTCCTTCATTCACTTTCTAGAAATATTTACAGTATAGCCTAGATTTTCAAAATCTGGGTGTGCACTATGTTACAGCACCTGAATATGAACAACAGTAAGCTGTGGAATATGGTGTTCAGTTAAACAGCACAGTTAAAACTATGGTCATTCATCTTCACTTGAAAGCCTTGAAAGTCTGTTTTTGTAATCACTTTGAGCTGTGGAGTGCCACATGGCCGTAAGTTATTTCACGTGAGAGATTTCTGTATTGTTTTGTTTTTGCTTTTCTTAGTATGAACTGCGTATTAGTGGCAGGCATATACTGTACTTTGGGTTTAGGCTCTAAATCTACTTGGTTAGGTTCAGGAAAAGATTGTGGTTTTGGTTAAAATACGTAACTCTGTCCTTAAGCTTAGAAACCTTTGTCATCGAGATTACAATAGAACATTTGTTGTGGAATGGATGTGATAAAAAAAAAAAACACTCTAAAATTTTGCTTAGAAATGTGTTTTCTGACCCATCCACCAAAACCTGTGTCACTTTAGATAGCCTTATATGTCACCTAACTTCCTCCTTTGCTCCTGTCATAATTGCTACAGTAGCTAGAGGTCATCTAATTACAACATGTTACTGCTGGTTGTATTATGCTGCTGCTGACACAGGACCTATAGAGAACGGTCTCACAAACATATGCATTCAAGATGCTACAAAGTTTTCACATCAACAGGAGGTGAAGGTTTCATTCTTGCTGGGAAATACGATAGATCTTGGATGGACAATTACATGTTGTCAGTTTAACATGTCAACAACTTCACCTGTTCTGGTCCATGTTCTTCAAAACTTTTATAAAATTCTTTAAACCTTGTATCATTTGTCAGTGTACTGCCTATTATCATCAATATTTTATCTTCTATTTGTAGCACTGTACTTTTGTATCATTTTGCTATTTATCTGAGACAAACTGAGCATCAGAAAACTTGCTGAACCTGGTGCCAGTGTTTACTGTATGCATTTAGTGGTGCATTTATGGACACAGTAAAAGTTTTTATGAGGATTCAGTGTGGCCTGATTTCACCTGAAAGTGTGGAAACCTGAAATGATGGTGATTGGAGACTGTGCTGAAAGAAAGGCCTGCATGATTTTATTTGTACATATGTAAATTAGCTCACATGCAGAATGAGAAAACTCTAAATGAGAATCTAAATCATGCCACTTGTCCAGTATGGCTTTACCCAGCTACACAAAATAGAAAACCTCAAATGCAGTTAAAAAAAAAATTAAAATCTGATTCTTGGTTGATAAAACACTGTGGGTTTTGTACCACCATAAGAAGAAGATGCAGCAGTACTGACAGTGTATGAAAAGACAGGAGTGACTGTTTGGTGCCGTGTCAGCTACTGTCGTGTGTTCCTGCAGCAGAAACACACACTCATTTTCTAGTGGAGTCACAAACTAATTAGAGCAGAGCAGCGAGACAGTCATAGTCCTGTAGTGACACCCAGAGGCTGCCATCAGTACCAGTACCAGTTACAATACACAGTAGGCCTACTGCAGCTCACTATAATGCCATAATGTCTTTTGAATTTTGTTGTATTGTTTTTCAGTGCAATGACAATAAAGGATATTCTATTCTATTCTATTCTATACACTGACAGTCCAGTATAAAACTCTTTTACAGTACACCTGCAAACTTTACATCTTTGCAGTCATGTCTTGTCAGAATGAAACTTTATACTATAATTTATATATAAAATGTAAATATTAAGTATAATAGCATAAAGCAATGACAAACAGTATGACTGAGATTGACCTGACACCTAACCTGAGAATTCCCTGTCCACAGTGTTAGTTTCACTAATTGTTTTTATATCCATACTGGAGCTAAACTAATTTATATATTTGTTATTTTGTATGAATAAATATTTTTTTAAATGGTTTCATTTTAATATGTTATTAATTTTGTGTTGGGCTGAACAGGCTTGAATGAAGGAGGGGTGATCAGACTGGAAGGAGAAGCCGTTTAAGCAAGGCAGCTGGAGCTTGGACACATTATACTTGATGAACTCCACCTAAAAATATATCCTGCTAACAATACACAACAACACTCTGCTAGGATTAGAAGTCATCTTCAGGTTGTTCTCTTTCATTTTGTGCACTTTGGGCTGTTTGGAGCAGCTATGTGACATGATTTGGATCAAGTCCTCAGTCAGGAACTGCCATACTGGTACAGTAGTCACCAATGGTATATGGTCATGGTTAAACAAATCTAAACAGTGTCCTGCTTGTGTAGAAAAATACAGAAAGTGTTGGTGCTGTTAGTGACCTGGTTTCAAGGTCTTCATATCCTCCACAGTTTATACATACACGTACTGTAGGAGACATAGTGAAGTGCATCTTGATGCATGTCACAATAAGTGTCATTGTGGAGTAGTCACATGACAGAAAATTACAGGCTTTTTTAAAACCAATGTAGGATCAAAAAGTCAATTTTCCATTTACGAAGTCTTCCTTAAACTTTAGTATGACAACCTGCAGGAGCAAATGAAAGGGCTCATACCAAAATGAAGCCAATGCGAAAGTTCAAGCTGGAAGACAAGTTACCATGGACACGTTCTTTACTCACCATGTCACCACATACTACAGATTCAGTAAATATATTTAAATCTTTTTGGTAATGTGTGTTTGGCTTTCTTTTTAAATAGTTTGCTGTATATAAAGATGCTTTTCCCCAACAGAGTATTTTCAAATATACCATTTGAGCATCTTTACTGAAACTCATGCACTCTCTGCACCATAAATCCTTTACTGTTGCTTAGACTTTATGTTAATCATCTATCATTTACCATCAATAGTCAGACACAAAACAAGAGGAATGATTCACAACTACAAAATAATCACACACTGCAGATGGCTAAATGGGCCCTTGGATTTTATTAACAACTGCATGATAAAAATAGCATTTCATAACAGAGTCCACACTGCTGCTGCTACCATCACCAGCAGTTCCAATCTACTTCCTGTATTCATTCAGTAATAAAAGAACATTATCTGCATAGAATAACACTAGCATGAAGTGGCTACAGTAGCAGTCAGAACAGGAATGTTTCAGTTTTTGATTTACGCAGATATCCTGATATCAGATTACAGGACTGCAAAACAAAACCATCATCTTTTAGTAAACTGAGAAGACATTGACAGAAGACGATACAGAGCTCCATGCACGTTCCCTATAGAATTTGTTTACACCCCCTTAATAATAAACAGAACTAAATGCAAGATACAGGGGAAAATGAGGATCCAGATTAGAAACAGATATTTAAAAGATGTTGAGGCTGAAAGAAAGATGACTCTATTCACAATTTATTTTTAAGTTAAGACACATTGTAACATCTGACCACCTTGCACAGTAACATCCCTCCTTTATTTGTAATAAAACATACTTTGACATGTTTCGCTTTAGCCTGCTGTTTTCAATGTGAAGAAAGTGTTTGTTTGCCTCTCAATGGACAGAAATAAAACCAGGCTAATATTGCAGCCTGATTACACATTGTTAATGGACAAACTAACTGGATTTGAATAAAACGGTAATATATCAGGTACTTCACAGACAGGCTGAAACTGTGAATGTCAAGGTATCATTAACTTTCCCTGCCCAGTCATAGTAGAGGTCAGCAGGGACAAACTGAATAAAAATAAAGCTTTGAATTTAAAAGTCCTGAGTTAAACAACATTGTCAGTCACTGCATGATTTCAGACCCTGGTAATGGCCATCGTCTCTTTGGTGAGCTGTTTTGTATTTTAACAAACAGAGTCTGTTCATAAAAGAATAACTGGAGTTGATGTCAGACAGGAGCAAAAGTGCATTCAGTAGTGCTTCATTTCAATTTCTGCACATCAGGTGAACATGGTGGTGGTAAAACGAGCCCCTTTTTCATATCATTTCTTTTCGGGAACTCTTGCTTCATCACCTCCTAAGGCACTTGAATCTCCCAAAGACCCCCCCTTAAGCTCCAACTAGGCTGATGTTTCTGTGCAGAGCTCTTGATGCAAACTGTTTTAGCAGCAACTCCTCAGATAAAAGTCAAGAACTACCAAGCACTCCTGGCACGATTTGAAACCCCCGCAGCTACAGTTTCGCTCAGTCTCCCGTGCAGCCCCATCAGATGTTTTCGGCCTCTCTCTGGGGAACCTCCCTGATGCTCTCCTGTGCTCCGCCACGGGCCTGTGGTCGCCGGCGAATGCTCCGCCCAGAGGCGATGAGGTCAGCATAGCCACGAGAGTGAGAGAAGGCGTAGGCGGAGCGTCGGGAACGCCGGCCACGCTGGAAGGCTTGAATCCTTCTCTTCTCCTCCTCCTCCTCCTCCTGCTTCTTAATCTCCTTCGCATACTTCTTTCTGTCTCTCTGGATCTGGTGGGTGATGGGAAACAGAGAAACACACTTTGGTCATATTGGAAAAAGAGGAGGTGCAGCATTCTATTTCAGGGACATACACTTTATGATTATTTTACTTCAAAGCTGTGTACATTAATGGTTTGGTGTGATTAAATGTCCATTCTGTTTTTGATTTCTGATAAAATACAACACCCTACAAAATCTTGGTGTGCAGGTACCCACACCAAGTCTCTAAATATTATTTGGTTTAATAATTTCCAGTTTAGTTGTGCTGTTACTAGTACAGTGACAACATTATGTCTAACTATGCCAAAAAAATTGTCATACATGTAGAGCCATTTTTGTTCTGATCCCTTGTGGGAAGACAGGACAGGCCACCTTTTCCATCTCAGTGAGTTATATTAATATTTCCCTGAGAAGGCAGAGGCTGACTGGCCCAGCAGTGACTCCCAGAGGTCTCACCTTGTCTCCTACAGAGGGCCAGATGGTCTGACAGAGGAACTGGATGCAGATGATGGGCAGCAGGCTGATGCTTACAGTCAAGATGATTGTTAACCACAGGTACGGCTGACGTAGAGCGTTTGAGGCTACACCTACAAACAAAATATATATGTAAGGAGAGATGTGAAGAGGGCAAGGTTTGATGTGTGACTTAATAGTCCCATTTACTTTCCAAATAGTCCTGTCTGTCTGCTAGAGCATTTCAAAACTTGGACATAAAACTCTCACTGTTGTCCCCAGTACAAACACTAAGCTGAAACAACTGTTGCTTCAAACCACACTTGTTCCAGAAAATGTTTTAAGAACATCCAGATCAGAGAGATAAAATTCTGTTGCTGAGTTTTTATAGGAACTTGGAAAAAAATAATCTTTTGAATTTTACAGCCTGTTGTTTCAGAATCAGCTTTATTGGCCAGGTGTGTTGGACGCATGAGGAATTTGACTCTGGTACAGTAGAGCTCTACTGTATCAACTTAACCCCAGCTAAGCTAATTACTCTCTGGTCTGTCCGGTTCAGGTCTGGCTGACTGTTCTAAAGTGTCCCTCAGACCTGTGCTCTCTTTTTTTAACCTTAATTTATGCAGGCTTTCCATGGCTCTGTTTCAGATTGCGTTCAAAATCTTAGACCTGTGCAGAACACCAATTGCAAATTTAAGGAACAAAGGGACCTGCTTTGGAGTAGAGACTATAAAGCTAGACAGTATGACTGTTTAGGGGACTGACCCGTGAAGGTAAACACTGAGGTGAAGATGACATGTATTCCAGCGCTGTGGATGTCAAACATGATGCCAAAATAGATGGCTATGCTTCCCAAAACTGCAAAGCAGTTGACAAAGGTCCAGTAGGAGGTATCCAGAGAGATCTGACACACAAGAGGTGAAGGAGACAAAAAGTCAGCAAAACACAGCACATTCATTACATGGACATCCTGGGAACCTCTTATAATCCAGTTTTCCTCTAGCTTTACAGTTGATACACTGTGGAACCAGGAAAAGTATCAAATAAATTTGAATCACATTAGCTTGTTAATGTTGGCACACAAGCATCTTCTGATCTAGGAGCCTTTACCATGCAGGGCTGCCAGCACGTGTGACTAACCTGCAGGTTGACGGTAAAAACCAGCGACGAGGCGGTGACAACAGCAAAGGACTGGAGGTCGGACGGTGCTTCTCCATCCTCCCCCATGGTCTGCAAAAAGGCTCCATAGGGGATGAAGAAGATGGTGAGTGAGACGAAGATGCCGTGGAACAAGCTGATGATGAATTTCTTGTAGTTAAACAGTTTCCCCTGCTGGCCGGGCAAGTAGAGTTTCGGGAACTTCAGGCTCAGTTTGTCATTAACGTCCTGCAGTGTGGGGATTAACAGAGTTCTAGATGAGCTTTGGTTTTCTCCTAATGAGTAAGAGAGGATGGAACAGATTTCCAAACCCGAGTAACAATCCATTACGAGTTTCCAGTCTTTGGTATTTATCCTAACAATTCACAATACCTTGTAAATAAGAGCCAGTCATTCTGGACTAACATTTTGCTAAACTGATAATACATCATCTGCCAATGCACTGTTCTTTGTGTCTGTAACAAAATCAGTTTTTTTACCTGGTCAAGAAGACCAACTAGTAGAACAGGTAAGCTGCTGTAACAGAGATTGTAGAGAGTGATGAACCAGTCTTCATAGGCGACCTGTGGAAAGGAAAACAAATATTCCGTGTCACCAACATAGACTGTAAACTGATGCATGATGCATGATAATCACTGTGATTACCCATCAGGTGAGGGGCACCAGGTGTAACAAATGTCAGTGTTGCACCTACCACAGATGTATAATGATCATTGTGATTTAAATCCTACTTGGAGTGACCTAACATTTCTCCCCACTGTTTTACTGTACATTTGCACATTGGAAATTTTTATTGGAAGTTTTTTATTATTATTATTATTGTTGTTTAAAATATTAATGAAAGCCTAAATAAAAAACATTTTCTTAACTTAAAGCATTTGAGTGCGGAGGTTTCCAACCTTGTAGCATGCCAAAATAATCTAAATTTGAGACCCACTTACTAGCTTCTCCCTGGGCTTTCAACCACAACCAGTGGAGTTGTTCCATGCTTAGGTCATATGATGCTATTTGAGCCAACTCCATGACAAATGAGCAACCAGCCTCCTCCACAGATTAAGACCTCAAAATATCCAGAAAACCATGTCTCCAGCTAAGATTATTTTGCCAAGTTATTTCAGTTGCCAAAAACCTGCCGCCCAGATTAGCATGACATTCACTGGTTGTAGGTTGGCCAGGTTGCTATGGCAAATCAAACTCTGAAATACTTCCCATGATGCTGTAGAAAAATATACATACTGAAGTGGGACTGAGATCATGTGTCCAACACACATGACATCCCTGTGAGGAGTGCTGACAATTCAGTGCTGCTGACCTGTGATGAGTATCCGCTGAAGAAGGAGTACCAGAAGTGGACTAGCGTGAAGGCAAAGTTCTTGAAGAAAAAGTACCGCAGGAACTTGCACATTCTGATGTAGGACCAACGTCCATGCACCAGCAGGAGGCGCTGCAAGTAAGAGAACTGAGCGAAGGCATAGTCGCTGGACATGACGGCCTGCATCCCCTCTTGACCGCTGATACCAACACCGATGTCTGCACCTTTGGGGGCAGAGAGATGAGAGTAGATTCACTGGAACATGCAGAAGAAAATGTGTTCAATGTGAGCACAGGGCATTTATGTCCTTACTCTTGATCATGTTGACATCGTTGGCTCCGTCTCCGATGGACAGGGTCACAGCCTTCTTGTACTTCTTCACCAGATTCACCACGTTGGCCTTCTGTTTGGGTGTGACACGACAGCAGATCACCGCCTCGCACTCACAGGCCATGTCCACAAAGTCAATCTGTAGAGGGGGGGAAAAAAAAGGACATTCCACTGTTTGTTTTTATGCAAATCATGAGAAGTGTCGCTATAGTCATCATGTCAATTGCTGAATTTATTTATTCTACCTGTCTCATCTCTTTTTCTTTTTCGTCCATCGGCTGTCCATCCTGAGGGTTCGCTGGTGGTGCTCGCTTTTTCAGACGACGAAGACGCAGACGACGGCGTTTCTTCTTCTTTTCATACAGAATCTCATTCTAAGAAAATAAGACTAAATCAGCCACACTGGTTGGTGGGAAATGAACGCTTAGAATACAAGGAAGAAAAAGCTTTATTATTTTGTCTCAAGACGAGGTGCTTTTCCATTAAATACAAACTTTTAAAACAGTAACAATCTTGAATAGAGCTCACCAGCCATCCACCAGTGATGATCAGAGCATTTTTGCCCTGTCCTGTGAAGAAAGCCTCTGTAGATTTTTTGTTGCCTCGACGGTAAGATGAAGGGTCATTTCTCCTGTTGGCCTGACGAA